GAAACTGAAATATCCATGACGACAAGCAAAATATGCAATATTTCCGGTAACCATGATTACTTACATTTTCCAAAATTCTTGCAAGTTAGCTACATTAACCCAATGTTAATATTCGATTTTGTCTATGATGATTTGTTTATAGTTATAACAAAATAACAAACATTCTATTTACCTACACAGTATATTTTATCATGTTTTTGTTTGGTTTTACTTTTGTTTTCTTTTGGAATGAAAAATATTTTGTGATGTGGTAGGTATATTTCACACATTGCGGGTTTTACACTATGAACTGCGTCTGGGTTGTCGCAATCATGGTTATTGTGTTTCAGACGCAATGAAAACATTATAAGCTGCATGTGTTGTTGAAATCTTGTTATTTTCAATTGCACACTACTCTATGTCATAGAATTAATCCTAAGCTTTGCAAAGCGCCATGATTAGTCTGAATGTTTTTTTTATATAGTGAATGTTTTTTGACATTAAATAGAACTATAAAAATACAAAATATATTGTGTTTCTGGTAACCCGATCTTGCCTATTTTTTTTTTCAATTCGGCCCTGTATCTTTTTATGACGAAACTGGACAATGGACATTTGTACGCAGACCTGTCATTTCTACTTGAAAATATTCACGTTTGAACCAACATGTCAACCTGTACATGCAAGATGTGGTGTATTATTCAAAAATATTCTCATATAATAGTATGGGCAAAGTGGCAGCGCGGAATAATGAATTGTGAATAATTAGATATTTTTTGTAAAATAAATGGTTATTATTATAAAATAAAATAAATCCTTCCATCCTTCTCTTACTTCTGTTTCCAATGTTACCAGAAACACACTATTTTATTTGGCCTCATCTCCAAATCAAATATAAATAAATGTCATACAAGTTTCAAATTATTTGATCTCTATTGAATGGCAAAAAAACAAATCATTATTAGTTTCGAAAATCTGCTCAGACTAGCGAGTATATGACCCAGATCAAAATGCTAGGTTTCGGGAGATTGTAGTGCGCCCTCAATCAATTGAATCGTTTTGTAAGCACGAGGGCTTCCTCTGTGGCACATGGTTACACTACAGACGGCTGGCAGTGATGTATGACTGAGGCTGATGGATTGTTTCGCGATTTGATTTGATGTGTGTTATTTCTCATGGATGCGAGTCTAATTTCCACGAAGTTTTATTGTCGTAATGTGGGCCCCAGCTTGGACGTTTTTTTTTTTCTTCTTTTGTATAAGTGGTCCAGCCACTAGTGTTTCTTTTATGAGATTTTACGGCATTTCGCTTTCGTACATCCAAAATGAAGGAATTTTAAGATAAAAGAATTACCAAGATTAGTATCAACAAATCTTGAAATTGCTTTACTGGAAATGTTTTACTATTTACGATTCTACGATAAATGTAACAAGCTACGCATTCCAGTTTGTTGCCACTTTTTTAATATTTATTCAAAACTATTACATTGGTTTTAGAAATGTTTATTTACAAATTCTATTTTAAAATAATTATAGTATGAGACTGGTTATTACACGTTGTGGTCTAATTGGTTAGCTGCTAAATAGGACTAGGTCATCGGGGAAATAGTAAATGGGTCGTTTATATTCACTGGGCAGTGAATACGTTATGTTTTGTTTATATAAACAGCGATTTTCATGAAGGCATGTACTTTATCATAATCAATGTGTAAACTCAATTTACAGTTTTAGGCGATAATAAGTGACAAGTTTGTTTACACATCCATCATCCAGTAAGAATCCAGTATAAGTAATATACTTCTGACGTCATCAAAGATGGGGGAATGAATCTTGACTTTACAGTGAATCCCATTTGTAACATTTTGACAGATTTATACTACCTATAACATTAAAGCACAGCACTTTATTTACACTTATACAAATATACTCTGAAAAAATAAAAACATTTTCGTATTTTTACAAATTCTAACCAAACCTTTCTAGAGTATTCAAGCCAATTCTCGCCCGGAGACTAAAAACTATCACGTGATGCCCTAATGACATCACGATTCCTCTTTGAAAATATTTGAGCACATTACTAGTCACTGTATTAAAGCGGGGGAATCGTCACCTGCGCATGCGTCAGATGGCCATAGCGTGTCGTTGTTTACAAACGAGCGTCTACCCATGAGCCTTTGCGTTTTAGCGTGTGTTGTTATCGTCGCCTGGGACTCAAGTCCCGCGCGTGCGATGTCAAGATGTCAATCAACTGAGTTACATTCAGGACAAAATTCAGAATCCTTCGAACTCAACAAAAAGCTAACAAACCACATGTGTACAAACACCGCTGTTATATTGTACTAAACATTGCAAGTTCCCTGCTGGCTCTGTCTAAACGTTCTCTTTTGGCTTCCAGGGAAAGTCGTCTTTCTTCCACGGCTGCATCTTCTCGCAGGAACTCGTCAATGTTTCTCTCGATCAGGAACTTTGCCATTTCCACCTTGATATCATTTCCGAGTTCTTGCAACAAATAGAATGTTATCATCAAAGGTATATCGTCCATCAGTCGAGTCGTAGCAACCTGCCAATATATAGAAAACATTACTCGTTGGGAGAGATTTATGTACATAAGTTTACTGCCCTATACCATTAACTTATTTTCACAACAATTGCCGAAAATGCAGAATGGTGTACCATGTAACTGTTAACAAATAATAATTAAATTAAATACAGTACCGGTTCTGTAACATCTTGCGTATGACGTAACATTCGCTTCTCAGTATCTTTATAGATCCTATCACGTGTATGGATCATATCCTCCATTTTAAATTTGTCTTCGATTGCTTTTTTCGAGTTTGCAACAGCTTTAGTTTGCAAATCGCAGAACTTACTCTAATGTAAAACGGGATAAACAATAACATTTAATTACTAGTTTGGCGATTTACATATCATATCCGAAATTTTGAAAACAATGAGTTGACCAATGTATATTTTCCGGAAGGATAAAGGACACTGGCCACCCGACAGCCAATTTAAAATCAGATTAATTCGTTGTCGTACCATCTATGAACAAATTCATGAAGCATGCCCGGCCAGTAAAAGTTCAGCTTTGGACTCTGATGGAATAAAGGAGATGTTCAATCGTTCGACATAGAGTTACGAACATTGGGTTACACGAATGACCACGCCCATATTTTAGAAACCATATATAGTAACTCAAACTTTAATTAACAGTTAACCGAATTTTGCGTTACGGGCAACATATATTTTTTGTTTTGTTCAACGTTGTATATTTCGCGTAATTCGGAGTTAAAGTTCAAGTTACTAAATGTGGACGTTTATCAGCATCACAGAATAAAGACATTCTCACTTGATTCACAATTGTTTTTTTATCAAAATACAATGTACCCGAACAAAACCTCAAAGATTCACTAGTACTTCATGTAAATTCCAGTTGCTATTACGACCGACCATAATCAATTAATGGTGTAACCAAGATTAAACATATATAGAGCCTGATTTTTATGTTAGATTGTAATATTGGATGATTACCATCACTGTTGCTTGTAGTCTTGGAAACTGACTGTATGTATCACGGACTAGCCTTTGTCCAATCCTTTCCACTTCCATGTTAACAGCCTGTAGCAACCTCTCTGCGGGGGGTATAAATTGTTTGAGAATTTGACGAATTAGATTCTCGCAAATTATTCTGTCCTTGACAAACGGTGGTAGCTCCAACCCTCTCTGTTCAACAAGCTCCTCTTTGATCTCTGGTAAGTGCTCATCGCCTGTTTGGAAGAGAAAACGCAAATAAGCTATCACCTATTTATTAAATTGTCTTATAATACGATGGCGGCCATCCATTTCTTGTCAGTCAATTGACATACACCCCTTGTATTTGTTATGTATAAAGCCGAGTTTCGTATTGTCCTGGATTCTTTTTTATACATATAACACCAGATTTGAGCTAATGTGATAGTCACATTCATATGGTAGCAATAATATCATCCATATTATTGAGTAAGGCTTATTTGAAATCAAACTAAAAATGGATATCTTAAATATATTGTCTGCTTATCTAGAGGAAGCAGTTCTTATTTGTTCTGGGCAATAGATTACTTTATCATTGCCTCGATACATGAGCAATGTTGGTATAACATGTCGTGGACTACACTGCATTTGTATTATTACAAATAACCTGCATGTATTATTAAGTATTACACATCTTCTAGAAAATCTATATAGAATCCATCATCGGACATAAACATTGTTTATGAAATTCTTTTGCAGAATGGATGATGTGTTTGAGTTATAGATGAAATAGAGTCTTGGTGTGCTTACTGTACCAACCACGACACAACACAACACAATGCGCAGTGTTAATACACTTATTAAGCAGATAAATCATTCTACGACTCAACCCTAATTATTTTATGGAGAACAATCAAAACAATTACTGAGAATATTTGCATACTACTTGCTTATAAATGTATTTATTCGGGATACCTAATTGTGAGTGCTGAAACATGATAGTGTCACGTGACGCCTCCTCCCCTCCACTTGAAGTGAGCTCCGGAGAACCACTGCATGGAACATCAGGTGCATTCGTAGCCTTATAAGACCGTTCCTCACACAATGTTTCATTCTCTTCATCACTGTCGTCCATAGGGTCTTCTGCTTCTGGATGACTCAAAACCTCTTCTCTGGGAGAATAATAGTCTGAACCATCTGAACTCGTGTCATCAGTCAATGATTCAAAAGATAAGTTTTCCATACTGCCATGTGAAGGTGTGGATATCGAATGGCCAGCTGATTGTTTGCCGGATGAACTTTCATGGAAACCTGATCCATGCTTATCAACATGCTGACGATGTGGAGTAGTTTTTCTTCGTCGAAAAAATGGAAACTTAGACTTAGATTTATGCGGTGGAAGGAATTCTTGATAACCACCAATATCATCGGCGTTTACAGATTCCCATTCATCAACGTCGGGAGATAGAAGTGGAGACCGTTTCGACGATGAATGCATTCCTGGCTTTGCTATCAAAGACAATTCACTTTTATTTGATGCAGCACCATCACCGTGCTTTGAACTAACATGAGATTCAGTACCAAGTGTTTTGCACTTTCCAGTAGAGTTGTCTGTCTTTGACGTGGGCTGGTCCATATGCGATTCTTTGGTAGGAAATGTTCTAGCCTCTCTCATTTTCTTTTCTGTGCTGCCATTATGAGATTTGTTTTGGGACACCATTCTTCTATCGAGTATCGGCTTCCTCACAGTGACTGTCTGAATGGCTGCCGAAAAATTGAGAAGAGACATGTCACTGTGGGGAAGCTCGAGTACAAGTAGTCAGGCTGTTCCACTAATTAGATCTCAAACAAATAAGTTCGGCCCAACTAAGTTTGTAGTACATGATGTTGATTTCCCTGGGGCCAATCCAAAGTTCAAATAGATGCTAGAATTCGGCCTCCCATACATAAGTATCCTTGCCTTGCGCAATGTTATCTGCGCCCACTACATATAGACGTTAGCTTGTTTATTCAAATAGATTACTGGCTCCGCTGTGTTGCAACTACGCAGTTACAAAATAACCATGTGTCATTGTTTAATTGGTTTCCTGTGGCTCATATCGTAGTATAAAATGGTACACTAAATCAATGAGCTAAATAATTTTTCATGTTTTTTAGTGTGTTGGTGAGCATGTTAAACAGAATGGGGTTCTTTTATTGCGTTTATTAAGAAAACACATGTCTTAATTATGTTCAAGGGCAATACAATGTTGTAAGAATAAAAGAAAGAAAAGGGAAAATAATGGCTAAGACCAGCTAGGCTTTTCCTTTTCCAGATGATGCTTACAATTCTTTGCGAACAATGTGTGTCATTCGAGGTTACGAGTCAACTTACCCACGTCATCAAAATTGAGTAAGTATCACGTTATGCATAATAATAAATGCAACTATTACGCAAGATATCTATACAGTAAATAAAGGCACAATAATTTTGGTACACACATATTTAATACATCATTGTATTACTTACATGGTTGTAGTGATTCCAATTCATCGGCAAATGTGTCATACAGCTTCATCACTATAGTTTGTAATCGCATTGATCTATCATAAGTGGCGTTCTTGTAAACACCTTCGGCGGCGTTCTTGAAGTCATCTGGAAATCTGTCCAGCAGCTGTGGAAATGAATTGGTTGTGATAAAAGTATGAACCGTCAAAGTACTAGCCATAACGCATAGCATGTTTGAAACTATTATACATACCAGGACTGTGTAGATATTCTTATATCAAATGCCAATGCGCTATTCCGCAGTGAACCCGGTCCGTTTGAAAAGAAATTACAGGTGGGCCTTAAACAATTTAATTAAGTCTATGGCGAAATCAGTTTTGGCCTTCTCACTGAGTCTGTAGCACACAGTGACAATCGCCTAGGGCAAGGTTAAGTTATCATTAGTGTTAGGTTTAGACTCGTGTGTTCCAGATTATGAGTTTGACAGAACATGTTTAGAGAGCCTGTTTTACGAAAATTGTACTTGAAGCAAACATTCACAGATTACTTTCGTACTGAAGATCAAAAGCCTTAGGAATATGAAACAAAGCGAGTGTTTTGATCAAATACTAGTAGTCCACCGATGTTCAAAGAATTGTCAAAAAACAATCAAATAATACCCTGTTGATATAATATAAAAAGATGTCAGCTGACGGGGTTACATAAACGGTAAATTACACACTTACTCTGACTAGTAAATCAATTCGTTGTACGTCATTCATTGGCACTTCTTCTCCCAGCGTTGTTAGTTCCTGCTTAGTGTCCTCAAGTTTATCTTTAATAGCATGCTGTATCTGGGGAACAGATTTCTGTAAAGAATGTACGCGAATTACAATGACGCCATTGCCATATTTCATTGCATTTATATGGCGGCAGTCGTCGTGCCGCGTCCTGTTCGATATGGGACTCATAGCGACGTATACAACGCGTGTAAAATACATGTTTATTTACATGAAATTCGAACACGCGCTGCACGACTACCACCGCGCTTTAATATGTGAAATGAAGTCCAAGCTTCTATGAAAAATGAAAACTGAGTTTGATGGGATTACAATGACTCACCAGTATTTGTTCCACAAGCTCTGTTGTTAGGCGATGTGCAAGTAATCGGGAACCAGCTTGACCAGAGAGAACACTGTAAGAGTACAAGTTTCACTTTGTTACGTGCGTCGTTTGAAATATAATACGCCCCTCACTTACCCATGATACACTGCTATAGATGGATGGCTCCTGACCGGAAATGCGGATTGTGACAAAGTTTGATGAGGCAATATTTCAGAACAATCACACCAAATTCGTCTTAACGAGGTTCGCAAAGATTTGACAAACTATTATTAATATTATTATTTCCTTTATACTATAATTATTACGGGTTCATGACAATCGGGAACGAAAACAAAACTGTTACTAGACAATATTTTGCGAAACGAAGTACGGAATGTCATGGAAAAATTATAAAATGTGCATTTAATCTTTGTTTTGGCATTGTGATAAAAGTATATTACTTAAAATGTTACTCGGTGACATTACTGAAGCATTTATGTATAATAAAAATATACTGTTCAAATAAATGATATTTTTTTTAGTTTGCAATATGTTACATAATTATTTCCCCAACGTGTTGCCCATATACTCAGTAGTGCAGTATTTTAATTCAGTAAACACCAGTCAGTCTGAAGAGAAATAAAAAAACACATTACCAACCTGTAGTGTTTATGTTCTCTGAAGAACCGTTCCTCTTCGTCCATGGCCTCCTCCAGTGACATGGCATCTTCCAAGTTCCGCTGACTTCGGCATTTCATTATTGTGTATCCTTTCTTCAAATTGATCACTTTATTTTCAGCTATTCGCACCACGACATTCTCCGATCCTTTGTCGACAAGATCTGGTTTGGTCAGCACACCTGAAATAAAATGCAAGTCATGCATAATATAGACAATGGAAAACGTAAAACATTTCATGTTACTCTTATATAATTTGCAACCATTTGCGTTCGCACCATGTTGTCAGCGGACCTTACCAAGGTCAGGCCAATGCGTTTACCCACGTAACACGGTACCCATATAAACCACGACATCTATGACCTGTGTTGCTTCAAATGTACCAAATAAATACAACTCAAACTCACGTCTCTCAAAAAGTTTACGTACCAAGTGTTCTTGATCCGGTGGGATCCACTTCCTGTGCCATCTTGATTGCTTCTGTTGTTGCTATATCAACGTTACAAGGTATGACACACAAAACAATGGCATCGTCTTTGCTTATATACTTTTTAATCAAGTCTTTCGTCTGCGTTAACAAGAAATACAAACCTGTTACCCGTCTAAAATTAATCGTTTAGTTTTTTTAACTGTGTTTTGGTTTGGAGTCAGCCTGAATCACAATTTGTTTTATCTCATGGATTAGTCTTATAGTGCCTGCAAGCATTGGAGTAAAGATGCAATTCCGTTCAATGGTATATACTAGTATACAGTAATATTATTTTAGGTTACCTAGGTTTCCGGACATATTTTCTATCAGTAATTTTTCAAAAGAAAAAAGTCAAAAATCGCTGGCAACTTGAAGGTTTTAGAAATTGAAATCGTTTTTTAAGGAGTTTCCCCCTATATTAAGATTTACCTATTTTAGCGAAGAGGTTGCCTAATCGTCAATCATGCGTATCATTTTCATGTGTGCGGGTAACGGGGCACATTGTGTGGCCAGACAACGTAACACTGAACCCCGGGGTACGTATCTGGTATGGGTAGAACTTACAAGTATTTAGCAAAATCCAAAAAAATGTCCACTGATTTTCGAATAAAAATGTAACCTTTTTTTGATAAATGCGGATTTTCGGGAAAAAATTAAAAACCCCTATTTCACCCCTTTCTGCCCATTTGGTCAGTTTGGTTCAGGTAGAACTTTCACTAACTACTTTATTTTAAAGTATCCCCTTTTATGTTTTGTGGACATGCGAACATCGAACTTCCCCTTTCTCCGCAAATTCAGAAAGCACATGCGACTAGCCCCCCCCCCCCCGACTCGACCCGAGTCTGTGGCCAATACTGTTGTCACACTAATTGACACGGAGTCTGAAAAAGCAAACCACAATATGAAAGAATGAGTTGACATTTATATCGAAGCTCCATCCACCTCTCATGAAAAGGTTCCGGATGAGTATTGTATTGGAACAGCGCCACCAAACAACAGAATTCCTCACCTCATCTGCAATATTACGAGACTGTCCTTCTTGAGGGACCCTTGCAATACCAGGCAAGTCAATCAAAGTCAGGTTCGGTACGTGGGCTGACTGAATCTCAACTGTTATTGAAGTTTTACTGATGCCTTTCTGTGAATTCGTGATGTCTTGTTGTGCTGAAATATCAACAGGCGTTATTAATGTCACATCGGACAATACTGGAACGTACTGGAACGAAGACAGTAGACACAACTGTTTACTGGGCACCTAGAAACATAGCCCTGCTCTTGATCCGGGTAGAATTTCGGGAGAGAAAAAAAAACAACCATTTACCCAATCATTCCATTTCCCCCTATTGTTGAAGGAGAACAATGATACTTCATGTGCAAAAAATTTTACCCCTTCAAAAGGAGATTTTAAAGTGGGGGAGTCGTCACCTGCGCATGCGCCAGATGGCCATAGCGTGTCATTGTTTACAAACAAGCGTCTACCCATGAACCTTTGCGTTTTTAGCGTGTGTTGTTATCGTGTTAGCGTGTGGACTCGATTCCCGCGCGTACGTAGGTGACGACCCTCTCGCTATAAAACATATATAAAAGAAAATACAACATGTATTTGGTTAATTTGTAAACTACTTTTACACTTTAAAACATGACTTCTCCCTTGAGCGACGGTTAATATCAGTCTTAGTACGAGTCCATCTAGTAGATGTGACTACGCCACAAACTTACATTTTATCAGAAGAAAAGAAACAGCTTGTTTGTCCTGCAATGTGCGTGTATCTGGTAACATGTGATTTTATATTATTGTCTTTTTTGTAAATATATGTATAGCAGCCTAGAATTAATTGAATAGTCATCCATCTATCCATTCATAATAAATCCATTCATTGAATAAATAAATAAATGAATAAATAAATGAATAAATAAATAACGTGCAGTTGTCATCTCACCTGTACGTATAGCAGCTCCAAGTTCATCCGGGCTATCAATGTACTTGTTTACTTGTTCCTTTGAGTAGTTTATGTACAGTATTTTGCCACACCATTCATCGTTATCCAGTGTTTTTAGTCTTAATTCTATGGGACATCGTGTCACAATTTCTACAAACAAATACACATGGGATTTTACGAGAGATTGATTTTGATGATGTATTTAAGGAGCCCTCTGATGTCAACTCCAAGTTAAAATGAGATAACACCAGGTTCACATACAAGTCAAGTGTCACATTGTGCGTTGCGGTTGAATACAGCATGACGTCTATGCAAATAAACTATGAAGATTTCTTTCACATGATGACGTAACTTTTCTCGGAATCGCCGTACGGGAAATTCAGGAAATGAGTCAGACAACTTATCAGACCATCACATTAGACAATCAACCGGATCAGCATTGAAACTCGGGAAGGCAGATTAGGAAAGCGCAGAAAAAAATGTTGAAAGAAATATTTGACAGAGAAAATAACACACAATACTATTACAGTAAACAATCTAACACACATTTAAAAGCAGAAAGCTATATATTAATATCAACGTATAAAGAAACAGGTAAAGAAAAAGACTGCGCATAAGGGGTGGACCATTAGAGTAAAGTCTGGGGTGATGGGAGAAAAACTATGCAAACTATTTACTGGGCAAATTCCCTAAGAATAAGATTTTTTTTTTTTTTTTTTTTTTGTTCCATACAATAATTATTTTCAGGATTTGTCCTGTGCAATTTTGTTTGGAATTTCTAATGGTCCACCCCTAAAAAAATAATCTCCACACCTGATTTTCTACTTTAATGTACAAGTCCATGATATTACCCCCCCCCCCCAAGCATCTATGCTGTAAACCACCACCAAATAACACGTGGGGTATATCTTGACAAGACGTAGTGGCTGAGTAGCAAGAGTGAGAGACACGTGATTGAAGATTCTACGAAAAACCTGAACAAAGACAAATCTACCTTTTCTAGGAATATATACTCGTTTGTTTAGGTGTTTTGTGTATTCCAGAGTAAATAGAGTTGACTTTATGTACAAAATCGCACGCACTATTGCCTCGAACTCTCATTACTTACACCATGGGCTTGTAAATGCCACGTTTGCATGATAAATAAATTACTACCGTAGTACATGTATATGAAACAAAGACTTGTCCAGAGGGAGACGAGTACCCCCCCCCCCCTTCCGCCGCCACACATATACATGTACGTATAGTGACTATACAAACATAGAAACCGAAAGTGTGACTGTCGGATACATTCCTTTTACGGCGGCAGTCGTCGTGCCGCGTCCTGTTTGATATTGGACTCATAGCGACGTATACAACGCGTGTAAATACATTGTTTATTTACATGAAATTCGAACACGCGCTGCGCGACGACCAAAGCCCTTTAATAAAAATTGGCTGACTGGAGAAACAGACATTTCATAGAATCGCTAATGACCAAATGTACCTGTCAGTTAGTAGTTGAGGTGAACGTACAGACATCGAATGCATATTATAGCGGCAACCCCGCCCTCATTTAGGGGGACCGTATTTTGTGAGACTTTTTATGTGGACTATTTATGAGCATAAATCGTAGAACAAATAAACGAGACATGCATTCTTTCTTATACTTGCCTAGTTACTTACCATTGCCTCTAGGAAGCTGAACCCCCGATATCGCTTCAAGTACGGAGCTTTTACCGACACTTTGGTCGCCGATGACAACCACGGCTGGAAGATCTACATCTTTATCCAAACCAATTCTTCTCAGCGAATCGACAAGATCGATGCAAGGACGTATGCGTTCTTGGTACGAAGCCGCCAGGGTCGGCACTTTCGAATCGGGAGCCATGTCTGCTTGCGTTACACAGTTTGAAGTGATATACGCATGGTTTGTGTCGGTTTCTTTTATTGAATGTGGTAGACGGGACTTTCCAGGTACATGTACACGTATTCATTGTATTTACATACCTGATTCAAACAAACTCATCGCTTGAGATTTAGCCCGCACTAGGGGGTCACCAATTTTGCAAGGAACATTGCCCGATTCATTCGTTAAAATATTTCGGGCAATATACGCCATGAAGGGTACAATTTGCCGGACAAACAAATGGATAAACGTTATTCAAAATGCGTCCGTTCTAAGACATTTGTCCTATTTATCGAATATTATTTGTACAGGAAAATGTGTACAAATATTTAACACTCAAAGTTGCGTAAATATAAGTGAAAATGAGAAAACAATACATTCTTAAGTTAATAATTAGGTCGGTTATATTCCTCATCCCTACCGTCGCGTCCGAGACACGGACATACCCGGTGACCCCCTAGCTTAGCCTTGATTAATACGTTTTTCCAATTTAATGTTAGAACGTTTGGATTTTAGCAAATGTTACATTAATTTATTTGACATGGGCGTCATTATTCTATGAATAAATATACAATGTTTCTGGCTAGATATCTGTATTTATTTTTTATTTCACTCAAACTGACAGGTAGCTAGGGGAGCTTACATATTAAGATAACCTCGTGATTGGAAATACCCTTACTGGTGATCAACTGACTCTAACCGCGCAAGCTGCAGAACATATACTTGTAGTTTCGATTTATTCAAACTCGGGTAAATAGTGATAATTTATGCAATCTCAGTCAGTCAGACCGATATATACTCGATCTTGTATATATTAATGTTACCTTAAACTATTTTTTCAACAAGTAGCACCATCATTTGGATCCAACGTTTATTTCGAATATTCACAAATCAAGATTTATTTTTCATAACGGGAAATATATTTCATGGGAACAATTTTAATAACTAACATTGATATTGCGTCAAGTTGCACATATACTTCTACAACGGTAACAGTGGGTAGTTTAATCACGTCTCCTGGTGACAATGGCAATTGTTTATCTATTATTAAAATTGAATTGCTCAACATGCTGACAATAGGACAGGGGGAGCCAGGGTACCTAATATGTCTGAAGTTCAGATCAACAATTATTTTGTGCATTTCAATGATCAAACCGTTTTGGGGTACTTTTGAGTATTAAGTAAACCAATGTTCATTTGTTAACAATTTTATTCTAGGCATTATTTGTGATATTTAAGGGTATCAGCTTATAAAGAGATGACAGATTGTGGTAAACTTGATGATTTGAAAATATTAGAACCATATCATGAACGTTAAGGAGTATATATGTGTTATACATTGAGGTTTCCCTACTGAACTTTTGAGAACACTTCGATGCCAGAGGAGATAATAGACAATACCTTATGTTGGAAGGAGGGGGCAAATATTTACGCCACGAAACATGAATTCATGGTCACAATTTTGTATATAAATGTTTGTGTTAATTAGTTACTCCAGTGATTCAATCCAGAATGCCTACCACTGTGCGCTGACGCCGGGGATTTCCCACAGTGCTTATAGTAATCATACATACATGCTTCAGATTGAACCATTAGTCTATAAATATGCCTATCACCCGTCGTCATGACAACTTACGTACTGACCTCAGCTGCTAACGTAATAATCGTAACCTACCTGTGGTGGCGCTTGATAGATTAACTGAACAAATGACAACTTTAGAAACTGCAGAAAGTTTAACAGTGCGGGAGCGCGTTAATGTGCACATTATAATTGCTAAGTATATCTTGCTAGGGTGCTCAGATCCGATGCCATTAATATCAATTTGTGAGAAAAGTAAGGTAAAGTTGTGATAATCAACAACCCCGCAAAGACCTAGCGCCCTCCGCGGTGCTCAAAACCCAACACAGTGAGGTGAGATGTAATGCCGTACGGCCGGCGAGGGCGCCACTCACGCCTACATGTCAGTCTAGCAAAGACACTGATAGACTGTTCAAGTTGTATTACCATAATTGAATTGTTTCTAAAGCGTTAAAAAGAAACTTTATTTATTTATTTATTTATTTATTTATTTATTTATTTATTTATTTATTTATTTATTTATTTATTTATTTATTTATTTATTTATTTATTTATTTATTTATTTATTTATTTATTTATTTATTTATTTATTTATTTATTTATTTATTTATTTATTTATTTATTTACTTATTTATTTGTATGAATATATGATATATAACCGTATTCAACTTGTATTGATAAGTCATTACTAACGATTGAAACCAGAATTTTTATTTATTCATAAAAGCAGAACTCGCATAATAAAAAGGGGAAGTACATGTACTTTAAAATGTCACGGCATTGTTTTACAAAAGTTTCAGTTCCGTACAATGTCCAAAACCCAGCCATGAATGCAATAGTGTTTACGCATGCGTCAAAATAACTTTACATGATTGATATGGTCAAAAAGCCACTTGAATTGTAGGCGCCTAAAATGCTAGATGAATGTACAATATCTCATAACTTTTTTTCTTGCTACAGTCATTACGTGACCCTCATTAGACCTTCATTATGCCCCAAAGGTTGACTAAAGATGACTAACCATATTTTATAACTTCCTTTTGGTATTGTGTTGAAAAATTAATCACTGGCATTGTTGCTAAAATCTGGGCATACGGGGCTTCTTCCGTTGGTCACAACTGTGTACTGGATTGTCAACATGCCAAATCTGCCGGTTTCTAGATTTTAAACGAGAACATACTCTCCTCGAGCGCCACTGGAACAATAGGCAGTGACATCAGCAGGTGTTAGCAGCAGGGGTTTAAAGTGTTATAAATAATGTTTGTTTGAAAGTATAATTGTTATAAGAGATACTTGACCTTCTGTTGACCTCCTCTTGTTTCTGTCTTTGCCATACTATTAGTTGTCACGCAATGTGATCAAGTGTATTCTGTTGATTTGGTTTTACATACACGACACAGTCCGTGTTTCATACCTACTGTAAAACCATTACATTTAACTGTTTTGTACATAATCACTGGGGTTTAATTTCACTCACGAATTCGTCAAGTGAACAATGAGTTTTATAATTGTTTCACACATTCAAGTGGATTTATTTTAGCGGATTTTACTTATCAGCAAAAATAGCGAAATTAAAAGCTAGTGAATAATTAATGCATTTACAGTATTTATTGTATATGTGTGTTTAGTGTGTATTTCTTTAAATTATTTGAAGCCAGCATACGTTTTGACATGAAACACGTTTTAACACACGGGTCGTTTGCTCATAGACCTTAGAATGAGAGGGACGGGCAACTACAGTATCTCATTCTACGTAAATGTAAGCTTTGTAAGTATCTTTCGGACACATCATAACATTATACTATTCTTTGTTAATGTTGTTTTCAAACTCTGGGGTCGATGGCAGAGAGTGTATTTCCCTTCGCTTAGTTTGTGCTATTTTTTTTCAATGATGATTTTTATGTTATATTTTCCCTAAGAAATTAGCGTGCAGATTTTTTTTTCCTTTGTACTTTTTTAAAATCCTACCCCCCGTTTCTAACGGTCCACCCCTTATATTTTAATCTCTGCATAGTCTTCGAAATGCGTTAGGGAAAGTGAAACTGGACACTTCAGTCAACACGTGACTATATTGGGTCTCGGCATGGAAGGTACTAGTGGTCCCGGTAAATTTGACCACAACAAGCTACATTAAACAAGGTCGCTAAACTAATACACATTTATATTTTCTGTCATGACAAGTTTAAAGCAACGCCACACGACGAAACAATGTCACATGCACTTTCATAGAAGTGTTGTTTCGTAATTCCATGGATACTGACTGGTAATATTCGATTTAATGAAATATACATACTAACACGCACGTATTGGTAACTATTCTAGTTTTGTCATCCCTACGGCTTGATCTCTAAGGTCATAGTTTGACCTTCAACAAGGGGGCTAATTCTTGATGTAGGCACAGTCTCTCTATGGGCTGTGATGTAGGTTTCTTACTGCACAGACGTTAGCATTTGGCCAAATATATATGGTCTACCGACAATACTTAAAATGGTATAAGAGATGTGTTTTTAATTTAAATATCAAAACTGGAAAGGTGTATCATACCATGGATGTACTAAGTACATCCATGCATTAAGCGAACGCATATAACGAGTTTACCCATATAACTTAGCATTTCTAAGGTCTCCCAAACACACATTCAGAAGGTCAGTTATTGTGACCGACCGAGGTACCCAAGAATTGATAATGTGCGCATGTGCGAGACTGTGACTACCGACTTAAATACCATCAGCGGAATATCGTGTTACTTGACCTCGGTTAAATTGACTTGTTTACCACTTTCTCAACCAATCAGCGCAGAGTCGGACCATTGTGTGCAAATCACCTCAAAATAAATCAACCTTCAGAAAACAAAAACAGACATCTCTCGCATGATAGTCTGAGATTTGTTCAAGCAGTTTCAACAAACTTTCCTAAAGTTAACCATGATGCGATTGGCAGCGGTGTTAATACTTGTACTTGTGGCGGTAGAGGCGAGACCCAACAGAACCCCAAAGGAATATAAGAAGTCGGGCGAATGGAAAGCACTTCTGAGACCAGTGGTAAGTTCGAAAATATATTGGCAACGCCCTGGGCAAGCAGAGTGGACAGATCGATAACGTAGCTAACGTCGTATTTGATACTCATTCAAAATTACACTAACGGTACGGTATGTACGTACTCAGTTGCATTAAATTGCATACACTGTAATGGGTGTATTCATAATATCCGGATTCAGTCGTTCAAGAATCGGTGGCTTTACATTCTATAGCTACATTTCTGAATCGTGGCTTATCTATGGGGGTAGACGGAGTACTCATGTTATGACGTCTGTACTATGAGTTATGATTGGGTTGTCCTGGTCTTGAAAGCAGGTCGGCAGCGAGTAAATAAACACAGTTTCCTTTGACAGTTTGGATAAACGCCACTTTATCAAAACGTAACGAGTGATTATAATCACTGACTTAGGGACCACTACAAGTTGAACAACTGAATAATGTGCACCCTGCAGGGGCGGATCTAGGATTCTGGAATAGGGGGGGGGGGCGATACGTTGGCCTAAGGCCAAGTTCGCGAGCGCCGATGGCGCGAAGCCCTGTTGGTTGTTAAAAGTAGTGGGGGCCGCGGCCCCCTCAGCCCCCATCTAAATCCGCCAATGCCCCGGGACACATACGTCAACTTTGACGTCGAAAGAATGTGTTGTGTAATTTTAGACAAAGAATCGCTCTCCGGTTGCAAGGAGCTGGTTATATATTATACGACTACATCAACAAATCAGGCGCGTTCACAGTTTGTGCACGACGAGGCGGACAATCACCACATGTTTCATATCAAACATATGTATGAGTCCTGTGATAGATAAATTATAGAAGTATTATTTTAGTGATTATTATTGGATTGACACCAAAATAAAATGTCGAATTTGATGATGTACTTGTATTAAATTTGCACGTATTACAATCTGTTCATAGTTGCCACCCAAATTGGCACCAAAGAACTACATTATTGCCAGGGCTTTAATTAAAATAAAATATTTACTCACCAAGTCTTACAAAAATGAATATAACACGGCCACATACGAACGAGGATCAACAGAAATGGTGGATCTGGTGACCTACTCGGTCAAACACATCACGTGACATTGACATTTACGAGCAATGAAAACAAAAACCTCTGATATTTACCAAGAGTGTTAATGTATTCAACCGCATTCCTTTGAACAGTACGCTTTCTACAGTATTGTAAACGGCGCCGGGGATGGTCTTTCCCTTTGAGGCCGATGAATTAGTTTGTTGTCAAGGATCTCAAAGGAAATGAAGTCTTTTGTGTAATTTAAGTGCACTTTCGTGTCAGTGCAACCACTGTGGCATGTATGTTGACCAATATAAGGCCACCCGGTTTTGCATCACTGGTATTTTTTTGTTGGGAACCATAGTCTAACGAAGTTCGTAACGGGGGATTATAATTCGGTATTCGTCCGTCCGTCTGGAGTCATGTTTCAAAACAGTGTGGACCAACTCTTTTCATTCTTTGCATGTGCATAATACTTTATCTGGGACATGTGCACATGCAGTGGTTAACTGATTCAATCAAAGATGACTGACTGACAGCCATTTTGTTTTTTGAAAATGTGGTATCTTATGCATATTTTTTGTTCAAATTTGGTAAATACATTATACATGTTAGGATACATGTATATGACGATTCGTTTTGCAATCGGATCAAAGATGGCGGACTGACTGCCATCTTGCTTTTTGACCATACTACTATATCTTCAAAGCTTGTGGACCATTTTTATTCACATTTGACACATACACCATGCATATAGGAGTACATGTTCATGTCAGTTTGTTCCATGATCAGATCTAAGATGGCCGACTGGCATCCATCTTCTGTTTTTTTGAAAATGTAGTATCTTGGACAGGATTTGTTGGTTTTCTTTCAAATTTGATACAAACATTTACACATGTTGCGATACATGACCATCATGACTAACTGGCAAAATGTATTGTTGACATGTTTTTTTCTTCAAATTATACATATTAGGATACATGTCCATGACAATTTGTTTCACAATCGGGTCAAAGATGGTTGACTGCCTGCAATCTTGCTTTTTGACCATACTTCTATATCTCTGCACATGAGCCTGGACAAAAAAAATCAGTTTGGATACAAATATGCATGAATAGCATCCCTGTTTAATTTCTGACTATATATTTCATTTAATACATCTAATTACTGTTGATACTAGACCAGCCAATTATTCACTCTCAGTTACTAACTATGCTTTTGATGCATATTTCTTTATTTTTGACATGAATAACATTTCCCCTAATCCCAACGGGGACTATGTCATTAACAATGACTTGTTGAGTTATAACTCCGATCCAATCATTAAAACTATTATATAACATGTACACACAATAAGTTCTGTTTTAATCAATCATTATTCAACAACGTGGACATTTCGCACATTCTGATTGGTTAAAACATACATTGTCAGTATGAAATCAACACTATAGAATATATTTTATAATTCTGGTTTTAGCAAAATATTTCACAGTGATGATTTTATGTGACCTACTACAATGCATTAATATTGTACGTATATAAAAAGAATATTATCTGATCCAACTCTTCCCCTTTTTTCATCTTTATAGTCGGAGAGTGATTCTCTAGTCAAAAAAGAATGGGAAGATATTCAGCCCAAGAAGACATACGACAAGGTTTATGGTGAGTTACCTGCGTGCGTTAGGTGTACTATGTTTGCACGTGCACGATTAGGATCAGTGCGCATGCGTTGCGCATTTCACTGCATGTTTCCACAGAACAGCATACTCAAGAAGACAAGCTAGCTCTGTTTATTACTTATATTGCCGTTTAGTGGTCGTCGCGCAACGCGTGTTCGAATTTCATGTAAATAAACAATGTATTTTACACGCGTTGTATACGTCGCTATGAGTCCCATATCGAACATGACGCGGCACGACGTCTGCCGCCCTTTAAGAGCAATGTATGTGTGCATCGCGTGTTCGGATTTCTTGTAAACAAACAAGGTGTTTACATGCGTTGTATACGTCGCATTAGACCCATGTGGAGTGTGACGCAATGCGACGACGAAAAGAGCGAACACAGTGTAATATGTTAGGTCACTTTAATAGCAACATAACAATTACATTTTAAAACGTTTGATTTCATATGCAGATCCATGTGACGATTTGAAGTGTGGTAACGGTAAACTGTGCTTTGTTTTGGAAGACGATACAGCCACGTGCATGAGTAGACGCGCTATAGAAAGGAGGTAAAGAACACTTTTAATTCAATGTGTGTGTGGGGGGGGGGGTAATTAAGCACATACAACAAATTTCATGTATTATGACAAAAAAACAGGTAAAGTGAAATGTACGGAATCGGAATGTTTTATTCCACGTTGTTTATCAATTAATAAAAGTTAATATAGATTTTATCTTATAACTTCAGGTACAAACTACACGAGAAGAAGTACGATGAGGAGTCTTGTCAACGATGCCCAGATACCGAGTCATATCACGTGTGTGGTACCGATGGGAAAACCTACCACGATGTCTGTCATCTGGAAAGGAAAGCATGCAAGACGGGAAAGAAAATTGCCTGGATGTGTGACGGTCCTTGTCCATGCACACCACTTGACGGTATTCAAACGAAAGATTAAGTTAAACACGATAACAGAGGGCGGTCGTTATATGCTTGAGATGACGTCACGTGGATATTCCGATACTTTACGTGTCTGTAAAATTTGGAAGAATCGGCGATTCAGTAACTTGTTGTTTTATTGTTTGTTTCGAATAAGCAAGGAGCAGAAGTTTTGGGGGATTGTACTAATATGTCGTCGTCTTCAATGTTGACCGCGATGAGTTATATCTATTGCGTATTTATTTAGGAATAACAAATATTAAAGGACGGCAGTTGTCTGCCCTACGACCGCCGACCTTTAATGGAATGTAGTACAGTTGTAATTCATTAAAGCGGGGGAGTCGTCACCTACGCATGCGTCAGATGGCCATACCGTGTCATTGTTTACAAACGAGCGTCTACCCATGAGCCTTTGCGTTTTGTATGTGTGATGTTATCGTCGCTCGGGACTCAATTCCTTTAAGTATATATCCATTGCATTAATAATTACTAATTATTTGTTAGATGAGATATCTTACACCAATATACAATTAGTTTTATCAGGGGACTCGGACGCTCGCCACTAATACATGCACTATGTTTTAATTACAGAAGAAATCCAACCTGGCTTTTACAATGACTACGTCCAGGAAGTAAGTTATTTCAATATTCGATACTTATTACATCATCATCAGTGTTAATTTAAAATCGAACGTAGGTAGAAGTGGTGTCACCGGCAACCAAATTAAATAAAACGACGGTTGGCTAACTACATCGGACAAGAAATAGTCTCTCTGCGTCAGTTCTCGGACAGTCGCAGTTTTCCCTCACCGATAAAATTGACAAAAATATTTTTCTTAAAGAAGTACCCGGATTGTTGTTGTCTGGCAAGTACAATGCCTAACGCGTTAACATTTGAAAACAAATACAGTTGCTAGCAAAGAAATGTTCATTTATGCGGTATTTATTTCAGCCTAAGAAACTGGTCAAAGAAACTCTAATTCAGTCCGATGAACTGCCAGCAGGAAATGCGGTCGATCTCCCTGAACTGGAACAAACTGCATATGACGTGGCAGATGGTGAGTGGTTAACGTCACAGTGTGCACGTGACCTGTAACAGTAGCTCGTGCATGTCTTTGTTTATTCAGATTTATGAGGGAGTTTTTAGTTCAATTCGCGAAGAAACATCTAATTAAATTGAGACTGTATTGCGCTGCTATAACATAATGTTGATTAGCCCAGGGAAAGTAATATAATGAAGAAGGTATTTATCTGTAATTGCTCACAGGGAAGAAACTCATTCAAATCCCCCTTTGAACTAATTAACATAAGTAGCAGCAATACATCTTCCAAATGTATTTAATTTCCCCCCAGAGCAAGCTTGGGTGCCAAGTGAGTGCACTGATTCGGAATTGTCTGAACTTCCAAGACGGTTGATGGAATGGTTTAGATTGTTACAAGCAGAAGAAGAGGACCTTTATAAGAAACATCCACACAAGGAGATGCCCGTACCTGGTAAATATAGCAAATAACTTGCATAGGAGACACGGCATTGTCATGCATTGAATATTCATTATTCGAATTAAAGTCGAATAACGGATCGCAGTTTTAGAATCAATTTTTGAAATTCCTGTCCGACTAAGTTGTCTCTCATAACTGGTACCAGCCCTCATAGGGCAAATCAACGAACATGCGTCACTATCTTGAATGTCTCTTGACTTTAACAGATGTTGAGGTGCTCCCTAAATGCAAAGAGTCAACTGCCTGGATGTTTAACACACTTGACGTTGACAGAGATCTTGTGCTGTCTTCCAAGGAATACTACGACATGTACAACGACGAGTACGAAGTATGCATGAGAACCTTCCTAGATGAATGCGATCAAAACCGGGACTGGAAAATCACTGGAGACGAATGGTGTAACTGTTTCCATGCTGAAGAAGGTAGGAAATATATTCTTTTTGTTGCTAGGCGTTTTTCATACCCATATGTTTGATACTGAAACTAATGTTTTTGGGAGACAGATTGTGTGACTGACAAAAACACCACGTGAGTCTCGCAGTAGTCTATAATTGTAAACGCATTGGTTGTGAAGCTCTTTGACTGAAAACCATATGGAAATGTAGAAAAAATAGAACACATTGCATACCTAATATTAAACACTTGCAAATATTTAAAACGTATATCACGTTAAAATAAATACTTGTAGTATTTGGATAATTACTGATATAATTCCATACTACAGATTTCACTATGTATCGTGTAATAATAATAATTTGTATGTTACTTGTTGACAGCTGTGAGACCACCTTGCTTCCAGGCAATGGACGACGTACCTACCATGATGGTATTAGGGGAGATCAGGCCTTTAGCAGGTATGTTACATCGAATAGAATTTTCTACGCTTTACAATGGTTTCGGAAAATTTAATCTGTGTTTGGTTTGGTTGTGGTATTTTTTCTGTTTTTATTTAAATAAAAAAACTTCGAGCACATCGTACCGGCGACTGTATACACAATTTGCAATACGTCGGATTGAAGCAAATAAACTTCTTACTTGGCCAGGTCAGTGTGGTCACACAATATGGTAGAATGGACAAGTTAGTGCATATATGAGAAGGAAAAAAGTGATTTAAATAAGGAATCATGGTGATATGTAAATTGCTTGATGTGACAATTTCATCACGAATGACATTTACTCACATCTTTAATTAATAGGTGCTTTCGTTCCGACTTGTGACGAAAACGGTTACTATTCAACGGCGCAATGTCACGGCGGAACAGGATTTTGCTGGTGTGTTGATCAATACGGAGTTGAATACGAAAACACACGTGTGAGAGGAGAGCCCCCTTGTGGTGAGTGTTCGTGATAAACAGACAGTATTAGTTGTCACACAATATCAACCGTTCATACATGGATACATTACTGTGTTACACCATTACTTACTGCTACCC